GCAGAGGAGTGTGAAAAGCAAGAGTCAAAGGAGCGAGCTGGGGTGAGCACTGTGATGCAGCGGCTGTGGAGGAAGTCTGTAGGCACAGGGAAATCTGGGTTGTGTGCTGAGATGCGTCATACACTTGTAGGAAAGTCACAAGACAGAGGTGGAAGTTTTGTGATCACAGAACATTACATCACTATCCCTTCATGTGGGTAATTGGGGAACTAGTTAATAAAAGCACCAAACCCTACCTGCACAATGAAAGCAGCAAAAGCCCATTAGTGGAGATGCATTTATTTCAGTACTGAAGTGCTCTAGCTTCAGTGTAGTTTTCACTATACATAGGCTATTTATCAAGGCTGTAATTTATTTATCTTTAATGCAAATACAGCAGCTGGCATGCTATTGGGCTCAATGATCCTTATGGGTCCCTTCCAACCTGAGATATTCTATGATTCTATGATTCTATGATTAGGAGAAGAGTCATATACTGATACTGGTTATTCCTCTTTCTATAGAGGAACCATCTACAATGCTGTGAGCATCTTTATTGCAGTATAGCTCTGTTGATACTAGACATATTAGACAAAAACATAACTTTAATGAAGTAAATATTCCAGTACAAAATGTTTGCATAGACTAGGCTTGGAAAAGCCTTGGGAAACATCCAAACAAAAGCTTCTTAATGTTGAGCTAAGGACAACAGCCTATACATGTCACTGGTGCAAGCCATAAAAAGCGAGAAAGCAAGCAGTTAAGGCACACAGCTCACTCACCAGTTCCTCTTCCTAGCTCTAACTACTTCCTTTCCATCACTTACAGTTCTCATATCACTTTAGTCATCCTGAGCACCCAAGGCACAGTCTGGCATCTGGCCACACATTTGTTACATCAGCACACACATCCTCATTTCATTTCCTTAATTTCTGTATTAAAATCTAATACAAAATTCAGACAAATCACTAAATCCACAGACCACCTGCTCTCATATTTTCCTAACCAGTTCAAAGAAAGCAAGCATATCTCATAGCCAGCACCTGCATGTTGGCAGAGTGCCTTGCTGCCGTATACCAGCACCGAATCACAAACTTTGTATGACTGTAATGTTTGGAAACCATCTCGAGCACACGGCGATCATCAGACTACGTCACGAGATCACCAGTCAACTGGATCTGAGCTCTAGGCTGATGCTGCTTACTCAGTAAGGGGTACAGATGCATGGGGTTGTGGTTGGGGCGGGGGGGGGATTAGAGGAACTGAGGTTTAGAAGGGGGAACTGATGATTGGTGTGTAGAAAAGCTGAGTGACTCATATGCTAGATCTTGTGCTTTCTACAGTGTAAACACCAGACTGTGCAGTCTAGAAAGCCTGGGCTGAGGTTAACAGTCTTTTGTGAACGACTGTTATCTTTCATTCATACAGGTATGAGTAACGCATGACATCCCTTGTAAGGAGCACTGAAGAACCTAGAGGTGACTGGCACTGTCCCAAGCAAGGTAGATTTTTTTTCATTCTTATAAAAGAATCGACTTCTTTGAATTTAAAATGTCTGTTCTTGTCCCAGAGAAGCCCAGCAGGATGGACAACGGGGTCCAGCTTTTCAGTACCTGTTCAGTAATAGCCCTAGGCCTTCATTGCTGCAGACCTTCCAGGTCTGTCATGAAGACAGTTTCATCATGGGTTTTCCAAGGATGTTCACCATATTATCCACGCATATACATGCCAGGACCCTCTAACAGGAGGGAGAAGACCTTCAGGGCTGTGGGTGTGCACGTATGTCTGTGGAAGTCTGTGCATGGGAGAGAAGAGTCATGCCAGCACCCATGTTTTGTCAACTCTCCTCACAATCCTGCTGGCCAGGGCCGGCGCTCCCCCTGCTACATCGCTGCCTGGACCTAACTAACGTCCTTTCCCTGCAACCCTCTTCTTCGGTCATTGCACACCTTGCACCTTCCACGAGAAGAGAGGCAAGGCTCCTCCAGACAGCAGCATCCCCTGCTCCTCTCGACACTTCCATCTTGTGTGCTGAACAAGCAAAGAATTTTATGCAGGAAAAACCACCAAGTGACTCCGTGACTAAGACGGCGACTAGCTCGTTTCTGCAAGGCTGTCTGTGACTGGAGTCCGAGCAGCAAATGGACACGTGCCAGAGCTCCTCAACCACATAGCCCAAAGGAAGGCTGAGAACACACCTCTGCCTTGTACCCTTGCATATCTGTACCTGCTGTGAACAGTGTGCAATGCTCACAAAGGCCTAGATGGCAATAACGCCTCGGGGGGGGGGGGGGGGCACCCTTCCAAAGATTATTAATTCACAAAACCAGCCAAAATAAAGATGATCCTGGAAAAGGAAACATTAAAAAAAAAGCTGCCAAACCCAGACCTGCAGGTCCTTATCTTCCAGACTTTTTTCAAGTGTAAAATCACCCTGGCCTTTGGCTGTTTCAAGACTGCATGAGTCATATCCTTGCTAACTGGAATACTTAAATTGAGCTTGTTCAGCATTTGTTATGATGGAAGGAAGTTAGTTTGTAATAATAGGAAATGGAAAGCACAGGGCTTTGTTTTTTTAAACCCATGTACTTCACTGTTTTCCTAAGTGGTCTGAAGCAAATGCATTTGTCATTGTAGTGGCCTGCTTACTTTTACTAACCCGAATAACCCGGATAATAGCAGGAAATACACTTTTTCTGTGTAACAGAATGTACCTATGTAGCTGTATGCATTTAGCAACTTCTTTTGTCATCTGAGCCTTTCACGTGTCTTTCCTTGCCTTCTGACCACTGGTGAATTGCCAGCAAGAGCCTCAGACTGTGCTGTTGTTTTGCTGAATACAACTGCAGTTGTCACAGGCTGTAGTCAGAAGTTATAAAACTGAACATTTCACTGGCAGTTGAACTCAAAAGCTGAAACTGGCTTCTAAGTTCTTGGGTGAAATACGATGTAAAAACATTATTTGAAATAATTGTATAAAACTCTTTTTTACAGTGCTATACTTACAATGGACCTAGCTAGCAGACCAATTTAAGGTCTTCTCTCCAGAAGGACACAAATCATAACTGTCTGTTTGGAAAATACAGCATAAATACGACAAACAAATATTTTCTTAAAAAACTTAATTTCAGCTCTTAAGTTAGCAGAGCTATGCAGTTTGAAGTAATATCTAAAGAAAAATTCAGCATGTCAAAATCGGAGATTTATTGAATATGAACATGTTTATCATTATTATGCTCTTGATAAAAAAATCAAGAGATGTATGATAGATAGAGCAGTTACCTCTCAGAAGGTTGTTCTAGCCATTCTTACTCTTTGCAACACTTGAATGATCTTCTGGGTTATGTTGACTTTTCTGCATTTTAATTTCACTTGCCTATGAATATTTTTGGAAAATTCCATTTATCTACCCTCCTGTCTTAGAATCCCATTTCGCTGCTATTTTTTCTTTAAAAAATTGTTTTTGTGAGATACTTTAATTTTTCGTCCTTGGTACTTCTATTTCAGTTTTACTCATTTGGATTGTGATGCAATTTCTCTGAGACACTATTCTCAGGCACACGAGCATCCATGCTGGCAGGCAAATATATTGATACAAAGCAGTTATTTTTTACTTTCACCATAACTAAAAGTAAGAGGAAAAATTTGACTACAAATAGCCAGAGTCCGGATCAAATACAGATCTCTGACTTCAATTAGTTTGGGATGTTTTAAGAGTTCCATATTTAGCCAGACTGGTAGCCGGACCACACCACAGATTTGGTGTCTGTACACCTGTAAAAATGTTTCCTGAAGACTTCCATACTGGTCAGTCTCTACAGGTTAGAAAAGCCATATTCCCTGGCTACTCTCAAATCGCTGTGTGTCACAAACGATGCCCAGCTTTCCTTCTCCACATGACTTTGGCTCTTCCTCAGGTTTTTCTCAAAGAGTGTGATCTGATATTATTCTGACATCTAAAACATAATGGCTGCACTTAAATAGAAAATTTAAAGGTGAACAAAGTTATCTATAAGTAAAGTTCTGCTGTCTGATCTATCTGCATCCAAAGTCACTCTGCGAATGAAATAATTTTATGTACTTTGTGCAGTTTCCAATGAATTCACTGAAATCACCAGACTGGCTGTTTCCAAAGCTAGATAGAAAAATCTGTGACTAAATCCGCAAATTAATTTTTAAAATGACAATCTTGTTGTTCAAAACACATAAATACAGATAAAAATTATATATCTAGGATTATGCAGCATCCTGTGCTCAAAGCAAAATCCTGAAGTCTGTACAGGTTATGTTTCCCATCAGCGCAAAACTCAGACAAGGCTTTTCCAGCATTCCTAGGCTTGCTATCCCAAGTGTTTTTTATTCATTATGTTTTTTTCTCTTCAACTTTCACAAGATGCAGTGAAAATTGGACCCTCAGATAACAAAGAAAGAGGAATTAATACAGAGTTATACTGCCTGCAGAGCATCCCAGCAGAAAGCACATGCCTCAGAGCGGGTGATTTCCCTTTGTGTCTCCGCAGTGGCCAGGGTAAGGGAGTAAGCAGTGCCCCCGCCCCTGCGGCTCAGGAGGAGAAGTGGAGACAAGGCTGTCCTCTCCCGCTACCTCCTCATACTCTCCTACTGCAGTGTCAAGTGCTTGTAGTAATGCGGAGACTGTTTTCATCTGCAGGGAATACTGTAGGTAGTTATCACAGAGAAATAAAGGGCAGCTGTATTTTTTTGTCCCCTTTGCTGCCGGAATTACAGGGGAACATTTTGGTGTCAAAAGACTTTCCCAGGAATTGTTCTGATTAACAGAAAATCCCATTTTTATAATAGATTAGTGATAATAATCAAAGCAAAAGTTCTGGCAGAAATCTTAAGTTCCCAGTTTTCAATTACTAAGACACATTTCAGTACTAATGACACATCAAGTTGAATTCCAACCTCATGAAGATGTAACAAGCTGCATCTGTCAAGCAGAGTTAAAAATGCAGGGTGATTTAAGAACATTCAGAACATAAAATGGCTTTTCTATATCCGCTTTTAATGAAAAAAATACTGTATGAATAGAAATGGAAGTATAACAAAGAATTTTCAGTTGATCTAGGAAAATACAGGGATAAATAGAGCAAGTAAAACTAACATTTTACTTCCAGGTCATTTGTGTATCACGGAACTCCTGTCCCTACTTACAGCCACTTATGTTTCAAAACAGATGGGAAAATAAGAACAAAATATCCTCACAGTACTTTTACTGACATATTCTCAGTGGAAACTATGATGTGATACTCATATATTAATTTTTCATTTCTTGCATGCCAAAAAGTACAATAAAGAGACTTTCAAGCTATCTTTATGCTTGAGGAAGGAAAGGTTGATCTCATCTGCTTCCTTTTAATTTCATAACTTGCAAACTTTTACTGCCAGTACACTCATTTGATAAAAAATAATTATGTTACTTCAATTTTTAATGTGCAATGTCTCAGATTTTATACAACAACGTAAAGTCGACATGGAATAATGAAGTATAATTTTTACCAGTGAGGAGATCTGTGTTAAGATAACTTCCAAACACTTTAGGCATGAGGAAAATAATTAAAAAAATCTTCACCAAACTAAAATTAACATACATGTATTCCATATATTAACATTGTCCCTGCTGTATGCCTTAGTATGGTCCAAATTCCCAACACAGAGACTATTTATATCATTTTCTAGTGTGTCCATATCTTCTTAAATTGGAAGAAATATGTTTAGAAAGGAAACCTGATCTACTAGAACATATAATGAGGATAGATTAACTTCAATTATGTTACTTGAAATAAAATATCCATTATATAATGGATGAAATATCCATTATATTAAGCTACTGGCTGGCAAGCATTAAATCAAATATAGACTTCTAAATACTCTGTATCTGTAGTAAAGTATTATAACATATTAAACAGACCTTTATTTTAAAATCTCTTTCCAGCACAGGACCAATCCTGTAGTAACTGCCTCACATAAGCTAGTTGCGAGTTATGAGGACCCCTGTCTTTTTTGGTACTGTATTCTGAGCTTTTCCAGTTGCTCTACACACTGCGTCTGGGCCAGCTTCAGTGTTCGGTTCTCCTCTGTCAGTTCTGCATACTCCTTCGCCAGCTGAGCAGCATCCATGCTTTCTTTTTCCACTTGTTCCAGCCTGGCAATCAGCTCCTTTCTGACAATTATGAAAAAAAACCCAAAGATTAAAAATGGCAGCATGCAAAAATTTGTTGTCGTGTGTTAGGTTAAAGCTGAACTATAGGTGTTAACATGGTATTACTTGAGCTCTTGTGAAACAAAGACCTTGAAAATTAATTTGTTAGAGTCCTCCTTTTCCCTTTAAAAGATGAAGCTGCCAAAATCTCTGATAGGTTTGCTGTTCAGCGACCAAACCTGTAAAATGCTGTGGACCTTCAAGTATCTCTAACTTCAGTAAGAGTTGAATATGCAGTTCATAGGGGAGAATCAAGTTCTTGGAGACCACATGCTAATATTTTGCCTGAAGAATAACAATTCATTTTTCTCTCAATACTAAACATATCTGAAAGAGAGCGAGGGGGGTTTTGCTCAGTTGGTTAGCTTTATCAGTAAATTCTGTGAAGTATGCCTGGTTTCCTTTTCTCTGCTACGAAGAAAAACGATTCTAGTAAATACTAGGCACATAAATCTGAACTACGTATATTGTTTCTGTAACGTGTTTATGCTCAGTCCTTCGTCCTACTGCTGAGGAAGAGTGATAAAGCTGCAAACCTGACCCCTCCTGGTCTTTTTAAGAGCAGACACAGGAGGATTCAAGCTATTGCTTCTTTCCGGAGTCACACAGTGCCCTGTATTCCCAGAGCTGGCCAGGAGCTGGAGTCTCCTGTACAGTATCAACTGAAATTATGTCAGCACAAGTTAAGATAAAAGAGCTCTTAAAACAAAACACACTGAAGGCATGAGTAACTCACAGGGTATCTAATCGCTCTCCACTTAGCTACCCAGCAGGCTAGCCTGGCCTCTGCTTTTTGCCCCCTTTAAGTCAAATCACTTATTCACCCCTGCTACAGGAAGTCTCTTCTAAAAGGTTCTTAGTTCTTCTGATCATTCTATCTCAGAGATTAGTTAATCTTTAACTGTTCATAGCCCTGTGACTTTATTTCTCAGTCATGTCAAAACAATGCTTGTAGATCATCAGTGGGAAGATGTAATGCCTTCAAAGTGGATAGCTTTTGCTGCAGTCTTTAAAGGAGCCCTCTTGTCAAGCTAGACCAGTGCTTTCAGACGGGAAATTCCTACAGATCAGTAACTCTATCGCCACAGGCCAGAGTATCCATGAAACAATAACATTTCAGTATTTGCTGATTGCTTACATTACTTACAGCTGCAAAACTACCACTTACAGCAGCAAAGTGGTAAGCACCTGGGTTTTGAAAAACACTTCTATGTGGCCTTCTTTTAGGATCGGTTTGATCTTCCTCTGTCTTTACTACAGCTTTCAGCGATAGCAGTTTGCCCATGGTTTAGCTGACTGTTTATGGTCACAGTAACTGCAGTTCAAGGAGACACAGAAGAGACCCCCAGCACACTCATTTCTTCCAACAGTGTTTCCCATACAGAAAAAAAGAAGGGAAGAATTAGAAGCCATTACAGCAATTTTAAATCCTCCAGAAGTTGAAGTATATAGAAACCCTCCTGTAGCTAAATATGTTGGCTTTTTTTTATACCACTGAGGTAATGCATAGCAGCTATGCTGCAGCAAAGCCTCTTCTCTTCCCTTTCACCAGGTGAAAGGTATATTCAATCAGCTCTTCAAGAGAAAATATCAAGAGCATATTTTTGTTCAGCAGAATTCTATTAACATTTGGCACAACAGAGTTGTAACAATTTTAAAAGCAGCAAGCCATTAACAAATTCATTTCTCTTTGCTTGGGCCATGCTAGATCAACCAATTTTCAAACTGGCCAAGATGAACTGATCTTGCTAGACAGTTTGATATTCCAGCTCCTATTAATGGGACTATAGGCCACGAAGGAGTAATTGCATGTATGCTTTAAAGGGTGAGAAATGCATTTAGAGACAATGAGATTTTACAAGTCCAGCAGCCTTAATCACTTCAGTCTCTTAGGGCTTCCTCTAGAAGAATTTTGTCTTTTGGGACCAAAAGAGAGCTTCAGCAATATTTCTTTGCAATTAGTCTACTGGTGCAATGCCGGACTGAAGGATTAAATTAAGCTCTTTCAAATTACAGGCTGTTACTCAGAAGTGTTCCAAACAAATTAATTCAGAATCATTCTTCCATACTTTTCTTACACTTAACAAGGTTCTTAAATGGAGATACAGTGAACACACTAATCAGTAATCAGCATCTTAAAAGCAGGTAAACCTTTTCCACAGGGACTTTTAGTAAGTGTAAAGGAAAGGTACTAACTACTCTATTTGGACTTGAGCCAGGAGTGGCAAAGACAGTGTGCAAACTCAAACAGCTCTATTAATGAATGTCAGTCCTGATTTGGTAAGATGAGGCTATGTGCAGGCATGGCTTTCGTGCTGCTCTCCAGTAATACTCAAGCAACAGAGATAACTCTTTTGTCCCCTGGGATTTAGCTTTGCTATTAAACAAAATATAAATGCATTCAAATCAAAATATACTCATTGCTGTAGTCCACATTCTAGGGCCTCCCTCGCAGAAACAGTTTCCTTGGACTGAGGGAGTAAAATTGCCCACTTCTGAGTCAGCAGAACCTACTTATTCCCTTCCCATCAGGATCAACACCTGTTTACAGAGTAGGGTGATGTTTCAGGCAAATACTGCCAGCCTGCCAGAGATCTAAAATTAGAGTACCAGGGAATTGCTAAATGTTATGAATGGTGTGGTTTATGAAGCTCACAAAAGGATGAGGACAGTAACTAACATTTGCTTCTGATCTAATCCAGGATTTGAACTTAGCTTCCAGAGGTTAAAGAACACCATACTAAGTTCTTGCACCATCTAGCCTTTGTTATGGATGCCTAATAAATACATCTAGCACTGTTTAATCTGTGTTTTCTGTTAACGGTTACCCTGAGTTTAAATATTAACAGCATTGATAAGGTATTTTCTAAAATGGTGTTCAGGTACTTGAAGCTTTGAGACAATCTGTAATGTACACTTTAAGTGTTCTTTTTTCGGGATGGGTTTGGGTGGGAAGGGAAGTCAAGTGTGATTTGCATCATAAACCAATAAACCACAAGCCACACCAGAGCAGGAGAAAAACCCAGTATGGTCTTAGGGAAATTATTTCTCTTGTCCTGGCCTTAATGACTGACCATGCAGATAACAGAAATCCTTTATAGTAACAGTCACAATGAATAGATACCAAGAAAAGTGACAGACGAAGCAGATAAACTATCTGGAGATTAAGTGTATTTGGAGCTGGAGTGGACTCAAGGAAAACAGCTTCCACAGTGCGAAGAGGCAGACTTGACTTTCTCCTGTTGTGAACAACATATTCAGGATCATGCATCTGTGGTACTACCCATTTCTTCCCAGCTGACATGTACCTGTGTATTGTGGTGGCCATAAGGTCATTTACTCTTCCCATAGCTGACATGGCTTTCACGTCAGGAGGAATCATGACACCGTGTAAGGTAATTGCTGTCTGAGGAGACTGAACTTGCATGTCCAAAGTCTACTAATTAATTTTTAAAACAATGAGACAGCCTGTTTTAATGTAAATGAAAATATGTCTCGGATGCCAGCACATAAAAGGTCCATAAATATTCATCACTGCAATAGGGCAAGTTGAGGTTTCTCTTTGTATTAGAAAAGCTGTAAATTCCACTATTTGGCAAGTAACATGTATTTTGGATACACGTGAGATGATGCAAAATCAGGTCTAGAATGGGAAAATTATTAAGATAAAAGGTTGCCTGTATGGTTTACACCAATCTTTTTCTGCAGTACCTGAAAGTCTGAAGACTGCTTGTCTCAACAGTGTCGTAAAAGACACTCCAGAAATAGTGTACCTGGAGAAGCCATCTGGACCTGAGACCTTAGAAACAGTCCTTTGGTCACAAGAGCATGCTAAAGCATACAGAAGGATCCCACAAAGTTAAGCAGACATCTCCACTGCATGTCTACTGTAATATGTGTAAAAGGAGGAAAAGAAATCATATCCATGGCAAAGAAAATTAGTGATCCTAAACCAGGTGGTGATCAAATGATATTTTCTGGAGAGTTATATTAGAATTGTCTGGGGGAAAAAAAAGAGAAAACCAGCCAGTGCTAAGAATATAAGATATAGCTAGCAACCATGGCAACTCTAATATTTAACTACATAATCCAGGGTCATTATCTAGTAATAGCAATATAACAAGTGCTCAAAATAACCAGCCATCCCATCCCTTTCACCCAAACTTAGATACCCAAAAACATCTGTTATGGAAATACATGTGTGTTTCTGGAACATAAATTAAATTACATTCTGTGACCTAAATGTGGTGTGTTCTCGCTTCCACACCCTTTTCTTCCTTTTCAATCCTGTCTTCCATTCCAGAGTGATTTTGTCCCTTGTACTAGATATTGCCGGCGTAAATGGGAAGAGTTAGAGTGAAGACAGCAAAGCAAGCTATGATTATTTATGTTAGCAAAAAAATCTACACAATGTTCTTTTAAATTCTTTCAATTTCTTCCTTCCTTTTGTTTGTCTTTTTCCTGAGTAACTTCCTCTCCCTTTATTTGTTTTGTCCTTTGATTTTCCCTTTTTTGAACCTGCAACCTCAGTTTCTCTCCCACATTTCCCATTTTCCTGTGAAATAGTTGTTGCCTTCTCTCGTGCTCCCAGCCTAGCATATTCTCTTGCCATCTACATTGCATACAACAGAAAGGAGCAAATAAGCTCTGCTCTTGCCTTGATGAAAAGCAACCCTCGTCATTACACCACTGCCTTTCTATACTTCGGCCGTACTTGATCCTCACACTACAGTGAGAGACAAGTCAAGATAAGCAGAATCAAAAGTCTTTGAAAAGTTGCAAAAGAGTAAATGTTTTTGACTATTTTAAAAGAATGTTATTCAACTTTCTATTTCTTAAAGATGCCTCCTTTAGAAATATACTTGCATGTATTATTTCATGTATAAAAGGTTACACTGAACTTTGGAGGTTGGAATAAAAATTTAAAGTAGAATGAACACTATTCCAATTTTTGTTTTACTAAAAAGCTCCAATACCTGTACAGTCTTTTATGTCAGGTTAACTTAACATTATTTCTTCCTTCTGACCAACAAATCAAAAATATTTGCTCAATTCATTTTCTGCTCTTTTCCTGACAATCATTGTCTTCAGTATTCTGTGTGCAGAGTGTACTACCAGTAGGCACCACAGGTGCACACACTGTGAGGTGAGACTTGACATTTTAATTCCACCGGTGAGTTGATCTGTGGAGAGGAATTTCAGAGCACTGGCAGGGGTACCACCCAATAGCACTTCTGGTTGCCTTTGGTAAAAATGCACGTTGAAGAACCCTGCACAAATTTTTTTGTTCCCATTACAAGGGATGAAACTCTATCTTTGTCCATTTTATAAAAACAATATTTAAAAGAAACTGACAATAGATAGTAGGTGTATTAGTCGATTGTGAATCTTTACTTCCTTACATTCAAATTCAAATGGAGAAGAAGATAAAGACACTTGCAACGGGCAAATTTCAGAAAGCTGCAAACTCCATCTTTTCAATTTGATTGTAACTGCTTTTGAGGTTAAAATCTGTACATCTCATCAGACTTTTTAGAAAAGTCAAAGCATCCTCCCCTTCTGAGAACGGAATATTCAACATCATGCCACACCGGCCATTGTAATCCACTGATCTTCTCTTCATTCAGCACATGCTACCCCATAAACTTCCTTTAACTTTCAAACTGTAACTGTTGAGAACATTTTTAGATATCAATCAGTGATCACTAGACCAAAACTCTCTTTTATTTCTTGCTTACTCCTTCACCTCCACACTTACACTCCCTTTCTATCTAGTTTTATATAAAAATCAAGGTTAATGTGTTCAGGTTGTATACGCCTACATGAGTGTACAGGTATGTGTGTCCTAATAACTTTTTAATCCACCTTCCAATTTCAACCAAACTTCATGCGCTGAAGAGGTCCCAATTAGTTTCTGGAAGGTTTTATAGAAACAAGCTGCTACCCAAAGGTGAAAGGCAGTATCATGAGACCTCCTCCAAAATACTAAAAAATGGAGAAGCTACCTGGAGGATGGAGTCATAAACAGTTCCCGTCTGGAGAAAAAAAAGCTTCTGTTGGCACTTGCAGCTTTTTAAACATCAAAATCAAATAACCACAGTGCACCAAGCTGCAGGAAATTAAGCATCTTCAATCCCAGTGCTTGTAGGATCACTTCTTCAGATTAAGAGATTTGGAAGGTGGTAAAAGGTGCTGCACTGATATTTGTCATGTTTAGGCATTTCACAGCTACACAGCATGTGAATATCTAGGCCACAAATATGGAATTAGAAGGCACATAAGAATCACAATATCATTCTATATGCTGCCTTATTCAGCCACTCTTGTTTTAACATATATTTACTGGGGCATTAAATCTTCTATCCACAGAACAGATTCAGCAATGGTAGCAGTGGTGGAAGCTTCCTCACATTGTTTCATTGTTGACATCCACTGGTGGAATGCAGGAAAATGCCAGCCTGAAGCCCCTTAATTCATCCAGGATAACCACTGCTGAGAGCCTGACTTTTGGGCTCAGAGGTTGATCAGGATAGTTTTGAGCTCAGGTAAACAATTTTGTGCATTTAACTGCCATTCCCAAGGAGCAAAATATTTCTAATTCAGCTAGTACCACAGACTCCATAGGTAAACAAAATGGCTTTTTTTTTTTCATTCTAGCAAATGCAAAAATATGTACACAAGTCTAGTTTTCAAGGGCTCCAAGTTTACTTTGTAAATGTGCATAACTGATTCAGGGATGTGTCAGTAAAAATAATGCATTTATATTAGTAGGCTCTACAAACCAAATGATCTAAGGCTACCTTTTGAATTTATGCATCTAAAGTTAAGTACTTAAACAACCATTCAATATTTTATATTCCATCTGGATTTCCAGAGAAGACAAACACACATGGTTTCCACTGAATTCACTTGGTTGCTAAATACACATGTAAGCAATCAAATTTGATAAATCATTGCAAAATTATTTGAATTAATTACCTTCTCTACATCTTTTTAAAAACACAAATTACTTTTGATTGGCCAAGTTTAATTAATGATAAATCAAATGCAAACACTGGGACAATGTAGTGTTAATCTCTTGTGGTTATTTTGTCGTCTTTTTTAACTTTTGCACCAGTCTGTCAGCAACTGAGTGCTATGCAGGTCCTGCACTGGAAGGGGATTTGTAGTGGGAAACCTCAACTAGTTCCGACACTTTAGGCAACAACTAACTATTTTGTGCCTGTAGCCATCAACTCTGATAAAGACAAGTGTCACTTTCTTGCCCTGCATAGTCTGGATTCAAGGACATCTTTGGCTATCTTGTAAGACTACAGGACTTCACCAGTTCCCCTCCCATCACTTTGCTTCTGCAGCTGAAGACTCCCATGGATGCAAAGTTGGCTGAACTGCATGGTCAGCTGTGTGGAGACTGCTATGAAACAGATACAGTGGTCCACCTTCTACTCAGAGCCCACTCTGCAACAGAGCTCTTTTTACTCCTGTTGCTATATTACAAATGTTTCTGTTCAAGCAGGACCTGGAAGAATGATGGTGTGGTCTTAATTTTCAAAAGTCTCAGAGATCGACACTTGAGGTAACTCCCTGAGGAAGGCAACACTGCTTGAAGTCACCTTCAGTGTGAATGCAAAAATAAAAAAGCATTTGAAAGAGAAAGTTTACTTAGCAGTAACTGTTATTCCTTGGGGTTGGTTGTCTGTTAGAAACTTTCACTACTCACCTTCTTTTCTCTTTCTGAATTTCTTTTTCAAGTTTCTTGTGGAAAGGGACCAAGAGTCATGGAGTGCACTTTGCCATTTAACAGTCATGCAAAGATGACAGGGGTGTGAGTATAGACAAGAAAAAAAGTCTCCAGCTTATGCACTTTGGATATGAACACCTAAAATGTCAATGCCCCTCACAGAAAAAATGTTTACTAATACTGTCAAGTACTCTAAACATAACTCTAAACCTAACCTAATTATGTTCTTCATTAAAACGTGTAAAGTTAAATGGAAAAAAATTTCCTAAAACTAAAAAGGGGACTCGCACCAGCTGAACTAGATTGTTATGTGACCTGGAGGCTGTCGATGAAGGTTTTAAGGGACATCTGTGTAACTGACGGCCCTGAACTATGACAACTCTGTGTCCTTAGTGGCCCCAGTTGATCCTATGGACCAATGGTCTAACTGTTGTGCTGTACTGTGACTGTCACGCAGACGGTATAAGGTCAGAAAATATCATGTGAAACCCTCATGTTCAAAACAGGATTTTACAAAGAGAATATACAACAGTAAATACTTCAGGAAAATTACTCACTTTCTTTCTTCCAGCAGAGCAATTTCTTTCTTGACCTCATGGTACTCTTCGGCTATTTTGCAGTGCTGTTTGTACACTTGCATAGATTCCTTAGAGTCATGACAAGGAGGCAGTGGCTTTAAGAAAATAATAAGAAAAAAATATATATATACTGGTTTTGAATGATACAATATTTATCATAATTCCTGTGAGAATATGTAAAGATTCCCCTCCCCAGCTGCAGGATACAGCCAAATATTCCTAGTGATAGCCTTTCATGGAAGGGAGAAAATCACTTCGCTGCATAAGAACATGCATAAACCTTCAAACCTTGTAAGGATTTTCAGAACTTTCCTTGTCAACTTTGCAAAGTATGCCTAAAGATTGTTCAAAAAAAGATTTCTCCCTTACCTCCCTCTTTTTCAGCTACAGTGATATAGGAATGCTAAAGTTTATGCATGGGTCAGACCCATAAAATACATGAGCATGTTTTCACTGCAGGAACTGCAGCCCTAAGCAGAAGGGTAACCTGAGTGCAAACAAGCTCTTATTCTCCAATTCTGCAAGATGAGAAGAAAAGACATGGAAAGCTATTGACTAAGCACTCTTTTTTTCATAGATGCAATGCTTATTCCAGTTTATTACTAAATGGGGCAGGACCATGAACTGGACACTGGGGCTGATTCTGCTGGACTCAACAGGAGTTATACTGCTGACTCCAGCGCAGCCAAGATTTGACAACGGGTTCTATCCCAGCAATGCCTCAAGCTGTAAGTAGTTTGCTCAAGATCATACCTAGTTTCTCTGCATCTCTGTTTACTGTAGAAGAAGGGCATATAATTAGTTAGCAGAAATGGTATGAGAGTTAAATCAGGTATATTTGCAAAGTGTTTCAAATTTCCATTAGAAGTGCAGGTGAGATTGAGAGTATAAGGATGACAACCATTTAAAAAAAATCAGATAAAAAAGACACAGTGAAGGCAAAAGCACTGTACCTCCTAAGCTAAATACCAACATTATTGCAGCAAGATTTTAATTTTTTTCAATGCACACTGGAGGTAATAAATACGCCAAATAAAACCACTCTGTCCTGGGACTCCTCATATAAATTTCAACCAAGATCTTGAAAATACAGTTTGGTTAAATGTCAGTGCTTTTTGTTCCTTAAAAAGAATGCAATTTAATTCAGACTTCAGGCTTGACTGTCACATTTTGGCTATAACACTTTCAGGAAGTGTAGTATTTTTAAGTTGTTAGCCATGAAGCAATTGACTGTAAATGAACTCCAAATAGCATGCTTGAACCACCTGTTTGAAGCAAAAGGAAGCACTTAAAATAGTTCCTTTACTGTCCAGTTAAAGAACATCCAATTGCTTTTCACAATATAAGTAAGTAGATTATTTTTTATTTCTTGTTGTCCTACTTTGACTCTTCTCTGTAGCATAATATTCCTTCAAAGTCATTGTTAGGAAAAGAAAAGCACAAGTCTTCAGACTTTTCCTATTTATGATCTTGTAAACCTTTCTTTTAGCTAAACTGGAAATTTAAATTTTACTGAACATATTCAGAGACAAAAATTAAAAATATTTTTATCCAGGAGGCCGGCTAAGTTGGCTTCAGATATACCCCAATGAACAGATGTAACTAATGTATGGACCTTGCGAGTATTTGTAGACGGTATGTGGTTCTTCACTGAAATTTTAACACAGACACTCATTTTCCATGTTCTAAAAGTAAAAATGCTGTGGCAGAATTGCTTCATAGCATGTTGTTTCATTCTCTCTGAGCCTGGAGAATCTGGAAACCCAGGGAAAGGGCAGTCCATTACTTGATGAATCTGGTCCCTAGGAAAGGGCTTTTAATTACATTTCATTGTGGACGAGCAATAGGACCATTCATATAGCCACTGAAATAATAAGCATAAATTTAACAAGACAGAATATAGAAGTCTCAGTGCTCTAATCCAAGAATGCAAGGGTGAGCCAAAGTAGCATCTCTGGTATCTACCAGAGATCAGCAAACAACAAATGCGTCACAATAAAACAATTTTGAACAGTACCCAAGGGAAAGTCCCCAAACAGTGATACTTCAAAAGAAAAAAACCCTTCGCTTTTGCTTCCAACTTAGTTTCCGCAAATCTAGCTGGTTTAAACCAGTTTAAAAATTAAAGCAGCATTCAGTTTCTATATTCCAGCTTCCCACTCAAAAGATATATATAGAGAGCTAAAAATTATGTAGTTATGCTGAGACTTAGTATCTAATTCCCACTTAGAACCAGTTGCTGACTTTCAAACCCCTTCCTATCATTGTTTCCTCTTCAGTGTCCTTTTTTCTTACACTGATATTTTATCACTCAAAATAAACTGACAACAAAAGATACATTCAGTTTACTAATGTTCTGTTCATACAATTCTTTTCAATCTTGTCTGATGCTATCAAGCACTATATCAAGAACTTTTAAAATCCTGAGTGTCTTTTTACTTTAAAATGTAAATTTGATTATGTTTTTATATGACTAGATGACCAGACAATTTGGTTTGCTCTTTTGTAATTTTGAAATTTCTAAGAAAGGTTTTGGAGATAGTACCTACAATGTCCATGAGTAATTTCTGGCCAGAAGGACATGAAACAGGCTTATGCATTCATTACTTAACAAACACCTCTGCTGCAATCACAAGAAAAAACGGAGAGATACAAGTCTGGTCAGTTCTTTGCCGCCCACCAGAAAATGCAAGCCAACACAAAAGCACAGAGAAATTATTTTATGCATGTCTAACAGCCTACTTTTTTAACATAAACAAGAGTGCAAAGAATTAATGATACATCTGTTCCCACCAAGAGAAGCATTTTCAGAAGATGGCAGGGCAAACTCCTGAAAAACAAATGCAGCAACACAGGCAAAACTTGCTTGTTCCAAAGGGGTAACTCCAACTAGCCAGCAGACATTTACAGTATTAACATATTCTGCAGAAAAGAAAACAATAACAGAATAGTAACAGTTACTGGACTAGCCCATACTCATCTAAATGGGAATAGGAGGAACCTGCAAATTCAGAGAGTCCCGTCCCCTGTTGTCAGAAGCAAATCCTACAATTCACAGGCTTGCCCAGTTCTGTCTTAGAAAAACTGAAGTCCCCTGCCTCAGTTGTAAGACTGGTCCAGAGCCTCAACAAGGATTAGAAACATTTTTATCACTTCCAGTTTGGTTTTGTTGAAGACAGGTTTGTAAGTCTTTTATTGTGCCAGGACTACCTTTCATGCAAATGGTGGTTCTTTTTCCTACCTGTTTTAGCCGAGATGTACTTATAGAGGGCTGTCATATACTTTCTAAGACCTATGTCTTGGTAAAGCTGCATTCCTCTAAGCCATCCTAGATGAAATTTCCATTTTCCCTAGCTTATTCAAGCAGACTTTCTCTGCTCCCCATTCCACCTGGATGACTTTTTGGAATGCCTGTGGCCAGGCCATGGGACGTGTTGCAGATGCTACCCTGATGGCATTCCCGTGGCAGAGAAGAAGAACTAGAATTCCCAGTAGAGAGCACTTTTCAACCATGAAGTCTGTATCCTATTTTTTTGGTACGAGTTCGCTAGTTTACCCAGGTGACTAATGACAACAGACCTTAATAAGGTTCAACAAAGTATATATTTTTTTCACTCAAAAGCCAACAGCCATACTTTAATTTCTCCTTAGGACAGCCCGAGCTTGTTACTTCATGAAGTATCTTGCCCGTCCATAAATTAATATATATAAAAGCATAGTTGCTACATAAGCAAAAACCATTCCTGCTAAAGAAAGTTATATTTAATGGCAACAGTTGCTACTTTTAATCTTGCTTATTTCAGGCTTCAGTGTCATCCACCCTCATTTTCCTGTGCTGGCAAAATATGCGCACACAGCATCTCTGATTTTATTCACAAAGCTAGTACAAAAGCTACAGCTTTCAGTCATACTAATGGTTTATCCTACTATGCCTGATTTTCAACGAGGTCTGATTTTTCCTTGTATTTTGTTGGCTAACTCACTGTGACATTGACAAACAGAATCCAGCAATTAGACATGAAGAGTTCCTGTTATAGGCTATTCTGTAGCTGCATATATGTATGTACATCTTTACAAGACATATGCACTGTTTATTTAGATTTTTTGTTTGGAATCCAGATATGATAGATGTTGGAAGATGATATGCAAAGGCAGTTCACGAAGAAATAGAAAGCTGAGCTGTTCTGCCTGTTTTTTAAGATAGGTTGAAGGAGCTGTTCTAATTAAAATCTTTACTGGGGCACACAACAGGACAGTTTTCAGTAATTTTTTTGCTTCATTCACATGTCAAAGTGTGTTTTGCCTTACCATATGAATATCAGCATTCCATATCCACAAAAGTTGTATAGTTGATAGTGTCACCCAAGTGTTCAAAAACTTCAAAACAGTTTATTTTTTAATTCACCTTCATTTGTTTGCATTTACTTTTTGGTTCTACTGTGAAAAAAAAATCAAAACTTTCTCCTGAAAAGGTTGAAGTTTGAAGAAAAAATTGTATCATGCAGTTTTGCCAGCTGAGCATGTGGACTCGTCTAGAAGGCAGTCTTTAGCACTGGTCTAAGTAAAGAGTGGTGTCTCACTTTTTGTAGATTTGGTAATTTTTAGCTAAACTATTCTGGAAAACCAGAAAGTTCAGTGCCAATATTTTGCACATGGCCTATGTTCACTATATGGCCTTGTGTACACTTCCATGATGGAAGAAATCACATTATTCCAAGCAAGAGTGATATCTGCACATTGCAGCTACTTTTTGTAGAGCAACTGGAACTTTTCAACCAGTTCCAGATATCTAGCCTAGGATATATCTAGTCTAGGATATATCTAGTTTAGTCTAGTTTTACTATGAAAGTAAGCAGTTCTCTTTCCTCCAAACAACTTGAGTCAACTGGATGAGAGCAACTGAGTTTTGCTCTCCTTTCCTGAGAGATTTTTCCATTCTTTCCTAATCTTAGTATGATGCTCTGACTTGTAAACATCCATGTCTTACATAATCTAATATAAGACCATAGTTATCACAGCAGCATTACAGGAGACTTATCAAGTTCATAAGCAATCAAATCTAATTATAGAGTACCACAGTACTCTAAGAATTCTCTTGGAATTTAATACATATTAAAAAAATAGAGCATACCCTTTAAAAACCCAGTATACTTTTAAACTTTCTAAAATAATTCGTATGTGTCTAACAAGAGTCTTGGCAGTCAGCAGAAGCAATAGTTCCATTATTAAAGTTCCAGAGTAAACAAGGTTTCTGCTAAATGCTTGTATCACACATAACAAACTGTCCCTTTCATAATATTTTCATTGCTTTTTTGTATAGACATTTCTCACTAAAGCGTGAAAAACTACCTCTTGACTTAAAAAAATGATACTATAAATGGTTGGAGCCTTTTCTCTGTTGCAGCAATTTAACAGCCATCTAATTCCATTGATCTCAACAGATTACATAGTACAACTATGACATAAATGCCTCTCTCAAGCTCACGAATTCATGAGAAGTGATGATAAAGAATTACAGGACACCGTGTGCATCTGTATGTGACTTGTGTTCTTCCCTCTTCAGGATCAAACTCCCAGCTGGAATAAAGAATTTGACGGAGAAGAGGGAGACGAACGGAGCAAGTCACAGGAAATGCTGGAACAGGACAGACAGCACACAGAGTATAGTAAAGCGGGTACTTAACACTAGATACCTTCCTCTGTATTCAGTGACCTAAACAAGGCGGCCTTGGATGCTGATGTAGGTGTCTAAATATAGCAGATGATAACCCGTAGTAGAGTGTCTGTCAGAGGGGCCACCACCCACTATGCAGCTAATCAAGGAAGGGCCTTCCAAGGCCCAGTCCAGCTTTTACACAAGGCAAAGGCTAATGTTTCCTAATAACAAACCGAGAAACGTAGCAAGCCTACCCTCGCTGCACTACCCACCCCATTGCTTACACGAGGGCGGGGGGAAATGACACTGAAGCCCAAATAAGTGCTTTTTCCTCATTCAAAGTGTTGTTCATCAGTGGGAAGCAAATAATTTCCAATACGGCAAACAAAAGGAATTGAAAAAAAGAAGTTTACCAATATAAGCTTTGTTTCACTGGTAGCATATCAGGAACTTCTTTGTAGGTTTTTTTATATTAAAGCTGCAAAAGAGACCAGGCTTTTGCTGCATATGGCTTAAACTGCTCTGTTCTTATATGCAGGGCTTTTGTGTCTAGTTGACCATACATTAATTTTTTTTTTAAGTAAAAAAACCCCACAGAACAAACAACAAAAGCAAAAATTTAAGTTAGAGATCTGATATTATTTTCTTACAAATTGCTTCTTGGAATTTCTTCCTCTCAGAGTAGGAGAAAAATGTAACATTCAAAAAGGTCCTGGAAAACACAACATTTTTGGTCTGAACCTAGCTAGTAGATCAGAACACCAGACTGATCATTTCTATTCTTCAGAAAGAACCTGTAATTTTCAACTAGGATCATCCTCTAGTAAAAGTCCTTACAGAGAATTAGCTGTTTGCAGTTAGTCTCCTAGAAATACCTTTTCTCCAGCCAATCCTACCTTTACCTCTGTAAAGTTGGCGCCAGTGCTTGAACAGCAGGGTTTATTACCCTGTCAGGGGGAGGCTGCACTGAACTTTGCCCTGCCATCGGATACCAGTGTCCAGGGAGTAGGTATGGTAGGATCGTGGTAGGAAAAGTGGGAACACTAGGTAATTCTGCTCAAACAGCCAAGTTGTCTGCCAGGGCCTAACATAGAAGGACAAGGGCTTGAAGCCTAAAACAGAGGTGCAAATTGCTTGGTACTCAGCCTGTGGTCTGCTGCCTGCATGCATAAAATTCTAAGGCTCTGATTTTCCAAGTCACTCGGTGAACTTACATAGCTTTCAAGCTGCTTTCAAAATCCAACCTGAAGATCAGCTAATTTGGCTTTTTGTTTGTTTTGTTTTGTTTTTTAAAACATGTTTCAAAATTTTCCTTTGTATGTTTGAAACCTGGAAAGTTATAACTTTTTTTTTTAAAGTGTCTATTATTATATAGCCACCTACTCTGCATTTATAGTTTGCTTCTTTAAATAAAATACAAATGCTTTTGACTATATTTATGGTATGGTGATAAAAATCTTGTTGCTCTAGATGTGATATTTTTATTATGAAAATATGTACCAGCATTCTTACAAATTCAAGCATTTGAGGCTGCTATGCCACAGTCCATTGAAGGGTTCGTTTGCATGACACTTCATGTCTGCTGGTTTATGCTAGCTAACTTTGGGATAGAGAAAAGCATTGATGGAATGACAAGGGACACCACCATTCAGTACTTCTGCAGATCCTGGTGAAGCCCATGTTGTAGTTTGCTTCTGTAATACAGGAGCTACCTGTTTCAAAGATGGTACGGTTACATTAACATAAATTGCAACCACATGCTATACAGGGCTGACACACCCTTAGCAGTTTGGATTATAGCAATTTTAAAAAGTAATCAATAAGAAAATGTAACTAGGTAAATTATAACTTTGTTACAGTTATTGCTTGTTTGACATTTTAAAGTAGTATAAACATAATGTAATTGCATTAAGTAGTTATAACTTTAAGCTGTGATCCAGATTGACAAAAGCAAGGAAATTCAAGTTTTCATTGCCAAAGCTAAATGCACTGTTATCTCTGCATCAGCTCAGAACCCATGTTGACTTAACTGCCTCTGGTTGAAAGGCATAAAGGCATCTAAATATAAATAAGCACATAAGCTTGAAAAGCTAAAGGATGAAGCACTACCACTAACTTCATACTTCTGAATGGTTGAGTCAGCCAGATAGTCCTCATAAATTATCTTTTCAACTACCACAATATTACCAAACAGAGTTTCTGAAGGATAATAAAAAGAACATTATCTGAATCAAAGCCTTTGATTGTTTCTTTGACTTTGTTATCATATGGAGGTCATGAGAGTAAAGGAAGGTTCTCTTGAAAAAAATGTCAGGAACTTAACAGACCAAGAGGGTGTACTTAGTGGAATTGCTCTAGTGTGTACTTAAAAAACTTTTACTGAAGGGCTATTATTTATCCAGCAGACTTGAATGCTTCCAGAGGAGCAATTTCAGTCTATCATGAAATGACATATTTAGAGTACATTGTATGTTCCAGAAATGGGTCATAAAAGTGCTAATAAAAAAATCATCACTTGGCCTGTAAAGTACCTACATCTAACACTAGTAATTTTGTTTTTATGTACTACCAGCAGTAATGACAATCATACTTTGCTCTTTTAGAGCAGTCTTCATCCACTGATCTCAATGCTCTTTAACAAAAAAGGTAAAAATTATTAACCTCATTTCAGAGATGAGCAGAAGGATGAAGCAACTCCTCCAGGATCACACAATGTGTCACTGACAGAGCTGAAAACAGAATTCAGGTTCTTTACTTTCAATTCAGTGCTTTAGCCATGAAACGATATTGCTTTTCTCAAATTGAATTCTTTCGAGGGAAAAAAATATCAATCGTCTTCACTGCACTGGAAGATCAGTGGAATAAAAAGGCTAACATACTACTCTGTTCCTTTCAGCCCAAATCTTAAATTGCTATTCATTCCTTTAATCTTTCCTAGTTACGCCTACGGAACTTGCCCCTGTTCTCAGGATTAGAGAGACAGAGCAAGAAGAGTCTCTGTCATCCTCAATTCCTTCCCCAGTCATCCTTTTGATGAGAGCAGCAGGAGAGAAAAGTCAGTCCTTTAAGTCAGCAGCCCTCCAGTGTTGTCTCACTAGTTGATGAGGACAGGAAGGATGACATCATTGGGCAACATGGTCTGCTAGTGCCTTTCTCAGTTTACGCTCAGGAAACAACTGCCTTCATATTGAAATATCAGAGGAAGTCTAAATGCTCCTGGGAAACAGATAATCTGAAGTAGTTTACAAAAGCCAACAAACACTCCAGAACTGCTACAGAGGAAAGGGAAATAATCCCTGGATACAGAACTGGCTCTGTGCCTGGCGAGCCGCAGAGTTGCCATCAACTGCCCTCTGATTATCCAGTATATCGGGGCTCCATCGTGCTATGCTGACAAATCGGACTAGTCACAAAAGGTTTCACCACTTCTAGCCTGTGCTGTCTGCAGACACCTGCTAGGGCAACCATTACGGTTGCTGGCTGTGCAGCATGAACTAGAGTAACTTTGAGGAGGCTCTCATCAATCCTGATGACTGGCTTTAGTTAGATAAGATGGCACTACAAAATACACCTTTACATTCTCTTGGAATGTGCCAGAGAAAGTCGATTATACCGGTTTTACCACAGCCTGTAGGCATACAAATATAATACCTGGCTCATTCCTTCTCCTGTCAAAACCACAGGAACTCTCTTCATTGCAGTGCAGCAGTACGTGCTGTGTTTTGCACAGGAATTGCAAAAAAATTTTAAAAAGCTGGTGAGATTGTTAAAATAGTAATTTCCCTGCAATTGATTAAAAATGCCAAATCCATTTTTCCGCAGATCTTGAAAATACAATGTTTTCTTCTATGGAAATATACAGTTTTATTAAATGTTAATAGGTTAGAGAAGCACCACTGAAAACTTTCACTTTAGTGTAACAACCAGAGATTTTTTTATCATAACAAATACAGTGAACGTGAAGTAGAACTGTAGTAAAAAAAAAATTACCTGCAGCTGCTGATCTAGTTCTGGAAATGCCAAAGGGAAATTTTCAGAGGAAGCATCATCTAAAAGGTAAACATGATGTTAAAAGTCAATGTCTACCAAAAAGAGCATTTCAAATGATCTGTTTAATATAGTTCTACATCACATATATTCACAATAATGTCAGGGTCCTGCAAACACCTCCGCATCTGCTTATCTTTCTACACTTGAGATCCTTTAATAAACTCCTTGAAAATACTAGTGGGTTGGCAATAAGAAAATGTTTAGGTGCTGGAAAGACAGAAAGCCTGTTTTGTATTGCAGTAATTAAGAAACAAAACAAAGCCAGTTAGCACAGTAGAATGTGACAATTTAATAAAAACTATAAATCCAAACAATTTTTCTTCCTGAGCTCTCCATTACACTGCAAAGTAAAGAACCTTCTTACTACCAAAGAGTTCATTACTTGAATGAAGGGAAAGATAACTTCCCCATCACAATACAATGACTTGCCAGGGCTAAACCAACAATAATAAAAACCTTTTCTCCCATCACCCAAAGGCAACCACAAGAACACACAAACCAGCCTGGCAACCCTGGAACTAGAAGACTGTTACTTACACAGATGTGATAGAATGGGAAAGGCACCACAAATTTCTCCATACTGCAAAGAAATGCCTTTACCCTAACCTGTAGATAACAATCTTTATGGGCTAGAGTTAGTTCATTCATGACAACAAGCCAAACTGTGTCTTTATTTATTTCTTTATTTTTAGTACAAGCTTCAGCAAAGGTGGGACAGGCTGTGCAAGTTACGTCAGTGTTGTGATGTGGACACCTGCCCACTAGTAGCTGGACTGAGATCAGAAATATGAATCATACTTGGTAGCGTCACAGCTAGCCACTGCAATATTTCTTTCTCAGTGACTTTCACACTATCAGTTTTGCATTGGATTGTGATGACTGTTTATGCATCTTACTACAGGTTACCGGAGGTGAAGAGAAGGTTACTATTAGCTAGCTTACAGAGTCAGTTATTTGTAATGTGTCAAAATTAAACAAGGATGGCTCTCATAGGAGAAAATTGCTATCATAGGTCAGATCCTGCAACCTGCTCTATGCTGGCAGAGTTGTATGCTACAACAGAACCTCAACAAGATTAAGAGGACCACATATCAAAGCAGGATTCTGAATATACTTTAAAAGTACAGACTAGGATTTAAATTACTTGTCAAATATTTGTTATCTCTTTATCCTTCCCTCAGTGGTCCCATAGCAAAGTAGGTTAGAGGGAAAAAGTAAAATAAGTCACCTTATCTTGTGAAGAATAAACATACGGGCTAACACATGGTCAGAGCCTTACTTTAACTAGCAGACTTAGAGCTAGGCACTTCTATGAAGGGGTGCCCAGAGAAGAAAAAAAATAGTGATACAGAGGGCAAAAGCAAATGCTGTTGAACTTCCTCAGGGAACAAAGTGAAGTTCTATATTTTCATTGGGTAGGGGTCTTGCCAGTATTATCAAAAAGTCATACCCGTCTGTCCATGTTCCCCCCCAGCTTCATTTTTCACACCATGTCCCAAACATTCCCATTCTGGAAAATAATTAAATTGCTTTAATTGTATAGAATTGTATCACACTGATATGCAGCTGTTTACCTTTGATTTGCTGTTGCTTTCTTGTACAATATTTAAAAATAGACTAATATTCTAAAAGAAGAAAGATGAATCACATAGCAAGGCTAAAAGGAAGGACGGAATAGGACTCAGTGCGACTAGGGGTACAGCTGCTCTACAAATATTTGGCTGAATAGCTGTTAAATATTCTGACAGAGATATTGGACCAGACTCGTGGACAGCAGTTAAGCTGCTATTTGTTTTGACAATTCCAGCCATACAATCTTTGGTACAGTAGCTTTAAGGAGAGGCCTCAAACATTTTTAACTTAAGAAAAACAAAGCAAAAGCAACCCCAAGAATTTTAAAGAAGCATCAACCAATATTTAATTTTTCACTGCATCAGATCTTAATAATACAACAAAATTAATGCAGTGTCAGAATATTAGAAAATATATTGGATTATCTTCAGAAAAGAACCACTAAAAAAAAGATCGGAAATACTTTAAAAAGGATGGAATAGAGAAAGAAATTACTATAGAGGAAATCCTTTCAATAAACAGATGTTCCCTGCTTATTTTTTGAACTCAAGTGACTGAGTCAATGGTACTAAAAATAGAACATATTGGTATCCTAACCATTATGGCATACCATAGTACATTTTATAATGGGCCTGCCCTAGCATCTATTGAACAGCTGCTAGGTTTTTATTTAGTTATGCTAGTTTAAAACTTGTTTAAATCATCATCTGATGTATAGAACATCTTCGAGAAAAGTTGGGGACTCCAGTGGTTTGAAATTTTTCTGAGTTTCTAATTCTCTTAGGCTCCTCTGACATTTTCAGCTGAAGTATTTAGTTTACAAAAATTAACAGAAATCCTCACAGCTAACTGCAATCTTGTTTTCCACAAGAAGAACAACAAAAAACCTTACCCACAGCTTCCAATGAAATAAATTACTGCATCAGGTCAGTCTGTATTTCACTGTTGTCAAAGTAACAACCACAACAATAACAACAAAAATCACTTGGTAAAAACTAAACACATTTAGATTTCACACAAGGGGAAAGCAAATGACATCAGCCATTTGCCTCCTAAAATTTTTTTGAATATGTTTTCAGAAAGTCAAGAGAAAAGATAAAAACTTGCATTTTCTTCCAAAAGAATCACTATTGCCCTTACAAGCCTGAATACTGGGTGTTACACAGGAGATCAAACAAAATCACATTGGCTTCTAGCCTTAAAAATCTATGACTCTGAAAACGAGAAACATTGAAAGTGTCTGAAATGTCAAAGAAAATGTTCTGAAGATCAAAACACTCACATAACTATCTCCTTATCTGTCTGTATTTGTTCTTTTCTATTCTACATCTCCTTAATCAGACCATAGAATTCAGAAATATCTCTTTTTCTCCTTTTCTCAATTTATTATCAATATTTAATGAATGCCTAGATTGCTATAGGGAATCACGGATATAATCAATGACCACCTTTATAATAGTTAGTGGCTTTTCAGTGCCACAAAACCCTGAAAATTACTAGGCTGATTCTTCACCAGATACAAACAGCATCTCACCCCTGTGGTCACTATTTTACTGTTCCCTTCCCTGTCACTCATAAAGAAAAAGGACTTATAATTCAAGCTGGTTGTTGAAAACACATTTTGTTTAAAAATAAAAATTTAAAAACTCAGACACTGCAACTTGCTGTACCTGAAAATGAGTCAAGATTCTGGTCAAAAGAAAACAAGAAAGGAGGAAAAACGTACACGTGAATGTCATGGCCACCCCAGCAAACTCAACAGCTCTAACTTGTGATGTGAAGGAGTCCGATCAGGGACTCTGTCACAGCCACCGAAGTTAAAGTATCTGTTGCATGATTTCTAAATGAGTAGCACTTCCTGATTTCCCATAGATCCCGAAACTAATTTTGAAGGTCTATATTTAAAAGTGCACTAAAGGTAAAGACCTGTACCCTGATTACAAGATGAACTCTCTGCACATACAGCTGATGTTTTTTTAACCAAAGACTTGGTTCATGTGTATGGAATAGTGTGACTTTCATGGTTGTTTCATCAGGTTCATACATACGCTTTGCTTGTTGCTGAAAACTGTGATTATAACAGAGAGAATCTGACGGAGGGTCTCCGGGGAAATCACTTCCTCCTTTTGCTTTCCATCACTTGAGCTAAGACAAAGTACCCTCTATGTCAGAGCCAGCTCTCTGACCATTCCTACAGCAAAACTAACAGCATAACAAAAGAACAAGCTCCCAAAGCATGCTGCCCAGCCAACGCACCTTCATGCTGAAATGGTGCAATAGGCAGCTTTGTGTAAGGACGGCAAGGCTAAGCTGCCCAGCCTTCGCTGTCCGGGTGAGCTCTTGTCTATCTGCTGACAGCACCTACTAATACAAACGTGAGATGGGCTTCTGATGTGTGGTACAGAGATCCACACAAGCCATTTGATTTAGAAGGCTGAACTGTATTAAGACTGATTGTCTTCATACAAAAGGCTTACTTCTTATCAGTGATGTCCTGATGCATTCGGTCCCCTGGTACATGCTAACGTTGAACATTTGAGAATGAATCATGCTTTCTGGAAAAATTCACTTATCATTTTCTGGCCTTCTGGAGATTTCAATAGCCCAGACCTCCATGATGTAGACAAACGAGAAAAATCCCTCACACTTCGCTGTCTGACCAACAGAATGTCCGGTACAATGAATATAATACCCCAGTCTCTTCCTATATGACTGCTCCATTCAGCTGAACTGTGGGCTATGGGCAATAGTTAATGAAGAAATACTTCAAGAACAACATCTGATTTACTTGCGGTGTAAACTCACAAATTACAGTTTCTCTGGGATCTTCACAAAGATAGACAGAAATAGAACATAAAAATGTAAATGTGTTGAAAGCACAATAAGGTTGCTAAATCAAGCACTTGAAATTTAGGAAATGCCAATCACAGCTCTGCTTCCTTGAGTGACTGAGTTATGATCCAGTCTTTAATTATACAATCAGGTACTATTTTTTTCTCCTACATGCGTGGGCAAGTGTATTCAGAACTCTTCCTCCTAAACTAAAGAATTAAACTGGTAACATAAGTAGGCTGTTATCCTGTAAGTGGATCAGTCCTTACACAGGAAAAGTGCTCAAACTCAACCGCAAGCACTGCAACTCACAGTGGGACAACGCTGGCAAACTGCATCGGGGTCCAGCCTTGGCCCTAGGAGGGCAGTGAGATCCAGCAGATCCAGCCCTGATTACTGACAGACATTCACAGACTCATCAAATTTGTCCTGGAAGGCTGTGTGGCTAAGTGACTGCGACTTGGCACTGCTGCGTGAAGCTCCCAGGCTTCTATTCACAGCCCTGCCTGACATGACCTTACACAACCTCGCAGTTACCTCACTCATAAAATAGTGGGGAATGGTCACTGCCTGACCCAAGAATAGGCTATGAAGGCTTGCTCGATAATAAGAGTTGTGGACCTCCCAGTAATAGAAATGGCCCATAACAGAAGAGATAGGAGCAAACCCCTCCTATTCCATATACCTTCACCTAAGCCTAAAGCTTCCTCTGATGAATGCACAGCCACTATCCCTTGGAGGGTATCTCACCTAAGTTCCTGTCTAATTTCCAAAAGATCAAGCCACTTACTTGTAGGTTGGGTGTACTTTTAGAAAACCAGCTTTGTAAATTTTAGCCATATATTTTAGCAATTCCCACTGGTTTTCAACCAATACATGCTGGAAAGCCTCTGTTGCCACTACAACTAAAATGAGGATGGAGTAGGGATTTGAAGGTTGCTACTGAAGAAGCAACCATTGCAAAACAGTCTTGCACGATCAACTAAAAAAGCAAAAAATTCTTCATGGTTGCTAGGATAACAAAGGCATAAAGAGGAGTAAAATAAGTCATTTGCTATGCTTGCAAAACTATTACACTGTTCCACTGTCTGTCAGTTTCATAGAAGATGTATGTTTTGCCTTTGTTATCAGTGATTTTTCTGGAGAGTGCTATCAGAGGTAGACTAATTTCAAACAAAAGAAATTACTAATTTCAAACCCAGTCATTTATCACCACATGTCACTAGCAGAACTTTTCAGCTAGATTCAAGCTTTTTTTCTAGGAGGGAAGATGAAGCAATGTTTACCTACAAACCTTCCTTTAGAACTATTACACAGAACAAATCCACTTGCCTAAATTTAATAAAGTTCCTGTTATAATCATTGTATCTTAATATGTTCAGTAAATAAGAGTGATACAAATTAGGACATATCAAATTTCATTGGTTTAATTAAATTCATGTTGATAAACTGCAACAAACTTTCTATTTGGGAACACTTATTTAAATTTTGGAACACCATATTTAGTTCAACTTGCATTAGTTTCCGAATGATAGAAGATAGGCTGAAATAAAATGTTTCAAATTCATCAATTTAAACCGGTACCTTAAGTCAAACTGGTGCAATACGGTGTGCAGACACACCCTGGAAAACCTGTGTTTGATGCCAGCTTAGTGAACTTGAGTAAAAGAGACAAACATAGACATCTATATATACAGGAATAAGAGATACACAATAAAACTGTCTTCTTATATCGCACCCGCTGATGGACTGCTCCTGAGACTTTTAAGGAACTGGTTAGCCTACTTTCACGTTAAAAATACTGCACAAAGCAGGCCAGGATTTCAGTCATCAGGTGTTGACTGACAAATACTGTAACAATCAAATTATTTCTTGTACACTCAGGATAAGCCAGCTCCGGTCTTGTAGGTCAGTTAACACAGAGTAATCTCTTCTCATGAGTTGAGAGCAGTTTCTCCTTTCACTGCTCCTCACACCCAGTGCTTGGTTACAATCCTAGCCAGTGAGATAATCACCACCCAGAAGAAACATTCCGTTTCCCCTTTTTATATCTACGTATGCTGTCAGTTCCTCCTAGTAAGCAGTTGTCCAGCCCCCGGAAGGAGAATGCAGCCTTTCTTGCTGAAATCTGTCACTGTGCCTTTCAAGTGAGGTAAAATTTAAGGAAAAGCTTAAATCAGATTCCCTCACCACTTAGCCCTGATGAAGAACTTTTTGTATATATACCCCAGCAGTACACAAGCCTCACCTGATGCTCTACTATCACACTTACAGCAGGTAACTCCTGTTTGAACTGAAACCAAATATCCTTGTCAAGGAGAAAAAAAGATTCAAGAAATATAAAAAAATAAGGAGGGGAAAAAAAAAAAGCCAAGTATAGAATACCTAAAGGTCTACCTGTTAAATGTTTTTGCAGCTCATCTTAAAAGAAAAAGTTCTAAATACTTATTTGTATTCTCTTGATTCAACTGTGGTTTGCTGGAAGTTTTCAAACCTGATGAAAGTTTATTTCCTTTGCTTTCTTTAAATATATCGAATATAATAACCATGTTCAGGCTTATCACTAAGAGCAAGAGTGGAATTCTTGTGACATGGTAAAATGGTGTGTTGGTTTAGACCTCCTGGTAGCCCTCAAGGGGATGTGATGCAGAGAACATGGCACTCGCTTTACTGGTTGCTATTTAGTTTTCTAGTACTCACAGAGATTCTGGATTGCATACTTCAGGAACACTTGTATATATACATTAAAGGACTCAAAATTATGGAAAAGTTTAACAAAATGTAGCAAAAAAAGATTAACTTTCTGTAATTGAGTTTATTTCTCTAAATGTTAAGAGAGAGGCTGGAATTATTAGCAGGATAGAAAAGTAAAAAATAAAATATGATGCAATGTTAAGGAAGCTAGGCTTCCTGCCTTTCATGTCCTCTTCTTCCAAGCTATTCACAACCTTGTCATTTCCTACTGCCATCTCTTGTCACAAACCACTCTACCCTCCTTGATTTTCCCATGGTCTCAGCTTTCTCTGACTTGTTTTCAGTGTCTCACATAAGCATTCTTTTTCCATAATTTGTAAGAGCACTCCCCTTTCTTTTATATCTCTCTCCAAGACCTATCTTTGCCATAATTCCTGTAAGAAATTTACCATGTTACTATAACTTGAGAGATGAGAATGATTTCTTATTACTTTCTGTAATAAAAATGTAATTACCAGATTATTTTAATTTATGAAAAAGGGCACATAGATAGCCACATGTGCTTCTTTATATTCCTTGTCCCCATCTTTCTGTGTCAATCAACTTTATGAGCTGAAAATTATGTGCAATAATGTATGAAGATGTTTGTTTTTAAATTCCCTTGCTTAGGGAATGAGATTCTATTTCAGGCTTGTAGCTGCCAATTAATATTACACGACAATTAGCTAGGAAAGGTAATGCATATTCTAAAATATTTTTAAAATGAGAAAATTGTATTCAAGCTGAGAGTCTATTCACACAAAGCTCAGGAAGCAGCCTCACACATTATCCTACAATGCATACCGTCCCATAAAGCACTCATCAGCAGTGGGTTTCAGTTATGCTTATCAGAGATCCTTATATTTCATGCCATAAACACATCTCAACCCTGACTCCAGGCACTCACCTTTAGCAACAGCACAGCCAGCTTTTTTGGGGATGCTTCCCAGCTTCTGATTTACTTCATTTCATTCTGACTTCTACCATTTGGCAACAGCTCTCTAGACCTTAATATCTAAGGTGCAAACTAATAATATTCATCTATTTCAAAGGCCAAATGGTCCATGTATGTACAGGGTATGTTTGGGGAAATTAATGCTCTATCAGCACTAGCCAACAGGATAAGCATCAATGAGATTTCTGCTGGTTTCTCAGATGCTATGTGGGCATCCGTTTCCTGAAATCTCTCACCAAGCTGGGCACGTGTGGCACTTTCCAACCTTCCTGCTGAAAGGAAAGTCTCTTCTTGTTCTACTCTCATCCTCAGTACAAAATATCATTTTACTTTTCTGGTTTTAAAATTCCCTAAAATCAGACATACTGCATATGCAGATAAATTTGATGATAGTTAATTATAGTCCTAAGTATATTCCACAAACCACTAAAAGAAAGCTAAGAGCTAAACTGTCGGTCTAGTGGTTTTAGTCTAACAAAATTGTTAATGGAAACATTAAAAGTTATCAGACAGGAAAACTGATCACATGCTATCACTCAGGAAAAAAATCCACCCATAACACTGCACTTCATTTGATATTGTAAGCACTGGTAAGAACATGTGAAATTTAAAAGCAATTATTTCATTGTGGTTTACTCCATAAATTAAACTGTACCTGGGGAGTCACTCAGGCTGAAGGCAATTCGTACTGGCTTATCAGCAGGTACCCTGGCGGTGGTGATCATGTGGGCACTTGAGTCAATGCTTTTACTTGTTTGTTCCAGCTGCAAAAATACAAACAATATATTTATTACAGAGCATGTGACACCATTCAACAAATGAGTTTTAATGCCTTTCATGCACTCACAGCTACCTTTCTCATTCTAGCTAAGCAACGTTTAGAATCAAAGTCAAAGGAGCGCCATTTCACTTTTCCATTTAAAAAGGATTTAAGTGAAATTCAGTGCAGAGACTGCCCTTCTTTTGCTATTTACAGATTAGAAAGAACAGTGGCAAAGGAAGCTTCCCCTCTCCTCACCTGCTTGCTCCCCGCCATTGCCCCTTCAGCAAGCCTTGACTCGTGGCAATGCTGCCTGGTTCTGAAGGTGAAGAAGGAAGAAGGGGTGGGGAGTTGAGAGTAACATGACCCCAAGCCTGCCCTGTGATTGGGAACGTGCACGCCACTCCACATGGTGTCAACGAGGAGGCACCCATCCTCCTACCTTCCACCCATGCTCCCCCAGTCAAACTGTCCCTCACAGTCACACACTTAATGGTCAAAAGTTACTAGGTCTCCAAACCTTGGTGGTGATTCTTCAGTGGAACTCTGTGCACGTGCAGGGGCCTGTCTGCATGGGTTTGACTCCCAGGTTGGGACCTTACTCAGTCCTCGGTCTTTCTTCTGAGACCACCAATTCCAAAAAGTGGTTTCAGTGAGACGAAACCCTGTCTGTTAAGAAAACTGCTAGTTCATTTCAAGCAGGACACTAAAGAATTGTTGAGCAACAAAAGAATTAGCTACTACTGATCTGTAATGGTATAATTAAAGCATCTCTGAACACTCAAAAGTTGTACTCAGAGCTCCACTATGTATATTTAACCTTTTGAATGAATAGTTTTGGTTAAACTCTATTAAATAGATGAATGCAAACTTAATCTCCTTGTATATCAAGCAGAAAGCTGCTAAAATTCACAGATATTAAACTTCTGATTGGCTCCATGTGTGGAGAACATGAAGTCAGTGGGACTTCATGCATGCAAAAGATCTGCCCATAAAGAAATTATTTTAGGACTGAAGCCTATGCTATCCAGAGTGCATTGTATCCATACCAACTATGTGTACAATTAGGAGAGTAGCTTTTAAATTACCATAAAAACTCCTCAGTCAATTAGAAAACAAATTCTTCAGGAAAATACAATGAATTTACTAAAAGTTGTACCACATGTCAGTAGACAACACAGCATTTAGCTAGTGAAAACATAAGCCAATTTCCTAAGCCAATACTCTTGCAGTTTTTCAGTAAAGTAGCTATTGTATTGCACGGAAATCCCACCAACTCATTCTAATTTACACTTAATTATTTGGCAGTCTCAGAAAGTCAATAGAACAGAACAATATTTCAGAATTATAATCTTCCATGGTGATGCACAAGTGAATCAAACACTTCCCTGGCATCACTGCCTTGCAATCAGTGGAAGAGAACCAAATTTGTATCTGGCCCACTAATTTCAGCATTTCTTTTTTATTTGCTTTGTCTGGCTTAATATTTAGCTAGCAGAGTGATATGGTTACTCTGTAGCAATGCTACACAAGAAATTGTTACTTGAAATGCAAAATCTTTTCTTAAAATAACAACAAATAATCTAAAATTATTACTTTGAATAAATCTTATTTGGAGCTCAGAGTGTCTCTTTCTACTAATACATGAAGGATATCAGGGATTGTTCTTTATTCCCCATTACTGATAATCAAGACACACAAAAATTGAACTGATATCTATTGGGCAGAGATGCAGAAAAGTCACCTAAATTGCCATGGTGTATGTTTTTGGACTCAGGAAAAGATCCTTGGAGTCAAGTGAAACATTCTATTTTGAAGTGCATTGATTCAACTAAATAATTTTTACTGTCTGAGCATTATTGATCTCTTTTTTTCCCCCAGACCCTCACTTTATAAGAATCATCTGAGACCTCTCATTGTTTTTGAAAAAATAACAGACCTACTAATCCAAACCCCTTTATCATACTTCCTTTCCATACCTCCCAATAGAAGGTAAAGCAAAAAAAAAAAAAAAAGAAAAAGAAAAAGAAAAAAGAGAAGAGATTTTAAGTGATAAGCACATCCTTGAAACAAGGCTGTTCATCATTCTGTGTTGTTGGTACACATTCCCCTGACATCTGCTTACTATCTCAAGTGGTCTTCCACATAAGAGTATACTTAACATTTTGTATCATAGCCTAAGAAATTAAAATGATGCATTCTGCTAGAGGTTTTAAAGTTGCCATAACAATATTGCTAGGAGTAAATCTGTTGTTTTATCCCAGTCACATACTCTGTGGTCTGCGATGTCTTTAAATTACCTCTTTTACCCACCTACTAGGTGAGGGCAAAAATCAATACCCCTTCAATAAGCAACGGTGAATTCTATCATACCACAAAAGAGTGTTTTCATTTTATTCCAATCCATGAAAAGAAATCTCATCTTTATACGCAGCAATTACCCTGCTATCCATTTTTTTTTATATTGCATTTATCCCTGCACTCCTTTTTGTGCAGAATCCTCAAGATCTTCATCACAAAAAGCAATCAAAGAGAAGAGAGAGGGATGGAAGCAGCCTGTGTGCAAACAGGGCGGCGATACAGGAAACACACAGACTGACTGCCCCCAATTCCCCACCTGCTTTCTCCATGCACGAAGAACAATATCTCTGTAGACAGAGATGAGGGTGAGTGGGCAACCTGGAATTTAATGAGGTTTAATGAGCAGCTCTCTTCTTCACAACAATCGCCTATAGAACTGGCTGCCGTTTCTCCATAAAAAATCTGCAGCAGAACTCAGATTAAGTGCTGTTACAGCTCTATCAATTTAGTTCGGTTTTCACACCTGTTGCCTTACCTCACTTAGCGGAGTGTCTGCACTTGTATAATCCAGGGCCAGCCACTGCCTTGGCTTGTCGTTGCCTTTATGGAGTAAAGCTTCAATAAAAGAAAAGGCTGCACCTGCTGCATAGCAACAAACTGACAAGGTCTGAGAAGCTGAGACAGCTGTCAGGGCAACATGCTGCTACCTGCACTTCCCATAGGCTTTGCTGTCCCAAAAGATCACCCTTTTCCGCTTTTCTCCACAATTCCGCTTTTCCTTCCTCTCCTTGCCAGTGACGAGGGATTATGATGCTGTCATGCTTCAGGGAGGAAAAAATCCTTCTGTCACAGGCATTATTAAGCAGCAAACTGTGGCGAGCCCAAGATTTTTAATTCATTAGTCCTGGCAAACCTAAAATACAAACAGACTTGCTTCATAGGACAGGAATGTTTTCAGCATGACCCAATCAGTGTCTGTGTCTATTCCAGCAAACTGGCAAAGATAGCATGACTCCAGTCAGCAAAAATGTCTGCAGCTCCAATCAGCTTGGGCTGACACTGCCAACTTGGACTGGCTACAAGCGAACTATCAAATGATAGCAGCAACTATCAAAGCTAACAATAAGGGATGGGCTTGGTGTGTTAGGCTTGGTTCATGTTGGCTTTGGTCAAGCCGGGCTTGTCTAATAGCAGATGATAGCCCTGCACTTCTGAGGAGGCAACGGCAAATTTTCAGAATGTGTACGCTGTGAAAGCAGAGGTATTTATAGATGAGCTGGTGATGGCAGTGATAGCTGAAGCTGACTAAATCAGAGATATGACTGAACTCAGAGGATTTCCTAGTGTGATTTTGGATAGCTTTTGTCAGTTTTGAAACCACAGGCAAGCAATTAATAGATAAATCTTGAAGTATCACAAGAGAGATTAATTTCTTCAGCTTAAACTTTTATTTTCTGTAGCTGTGTCACGCACATGTACTGCCTACATGATTTCTTTGATTGACTGCTATCACAGTCATTAGAACAAATGGAGAAAAGTGGAGAACAGTTATGGAATGATTATACAGAATCTTGATATTTATTGCTCTGTGCTTGAAAAGGGAGTTCTCCTCCTTTTATATTTCAAACTGTAGTTTGAAGGTATATTTTATATTTTTAATTCCAAATGGAAAAGGTTTCTCTAACTCACATCTCCTGCACAGGCACAGTGCTAGATTCTCTTGGCTCAGCTGAGATATGGAGAGGTTGCAGGACAGACAGAGACGTGAAAGTCTGAAGCCAAATTTTCATCCTTCCTCACTCTCTCACCTTCTGGCCCTAGCCCAGGATTGATCTAATCAGTGCAAATCTCAGGAAGCCAGCGGTTGCCCTTGTGGCCTCAAAAGACCTTTTTCATACTTTGAAATGACTAAACTGCAAAGATATTCTACCCACACTGCCTTTCCCCCAGCAATGACCCAGGAGGGTATCAGACAGCTACACCATTAGTTAGGTAACTGGTGAGGCCGTCTTCTTAACTGCAGTGTGGTTTCAGAGCAGACTATGGGCTCCGGCTCAAAGAGTTAGTGAAAAGCAGGACGGCGCCTCTGACCACGCTGACCATCTTCTCTTCTCTTGATGTGTTTCTGGAAAGACTGAGGGTTCCTCCCTATATGTCTCCTTTGGAAGGGGAGGGAGAGAGATTTGTCTCTGATCACAACCATTACTGCAAATAACATTCTACAGCTCAATACCGTCAGCGGTTGATATTGATCTCCAGTTACAGGTCCAATTACTGTGAAAGTATTTGTTTGAAGATACAGAAAATCCTGGCTCCAGTGAAGTCAATAAACATATTCTGCTTCAGTTTCCATGGAGCCAGGGTTTCCCCCAAATGGTAAGATCCTCTTCTGCTTTGTATGGACAGATGGTATTTAGATGATATGAGTGCCTTCATTACATGCCACTACAGTAAAGCCTAAAAAAGGCTCTCTATGTAAAATCTTTAGACATGCAAAATCTTCAATAGCCATGACAGCAAGGGTCTTGGACAGAAATGATGTCTGAATAGCCCAGGGATAGTTTTTCCAGATGGCTCTGACACCACGTTTCCAGACTGACACTTCAGTTGTACTCAGTTTAAATAGTATGTGCATTTGCAAATGGAGTTCATAATCATTTTATGTTTTGTATCCATTGTATACTTGTTTTTTAAATGTCAGTGTTTCTAGTTAATCTGTATTATTATACACACTTTACAAAAGACGGTGGAATCACCTGTACTTCACTTAATATGCACACTCCTTTTCTAGGGAGTGTGCTGCTTCTGAAAGCTGTGAATCATGTACTAAGATACCAAAACTGCACAAACCAAAAGGCCCCTGATTTGCATTTAAATATCAGTTCTGTGCTTTACACAATGATTAGTCACCTGAAACTACTATTATATGGAAGATAGCATATTTTTAAAATGTGAGCATATTATAGCATTCTGTATATAGAACATTGAATTTGAAGCATCAGGATGAATGATTTGACTGTAGCCATTTTATCATCTATTTATTATTGGGGCTATGGTGTTAAAACTCTCAACACTATGGATTTAAACAGCACATTTTAAAACGTTCTCTAAATTAGTTTGTAACAGTAGACTAGGGAAGATCTCAATTTTAAACAACAGGGAAATTGAAGTCCCGGATACTTCACTTCTGTGACTTGCTCAAATTAATAGTCAAAGGCATTGTAAATTTTGGGTACAGATAAATTCCACTTGTCTTATTCACTAAGTAGGTGAATGAAATCTGTGTATCTAAGAAAATTACTCTCCCATTTATTGCAACACAAAGAATACTTCTTTTTAAGAGGCTGCACATACACCTTACGGTCACCTCTGTGAAAATTATGGAATGCTGATAACTCCAGGTTTTCTGTGCAGGAGCACAGCCTGTCCTGCTTTCTTTCCAGGATACACTTAGTCATCAGATACCTGGTACCCAAGCAAAATTCTTTCAATCCTGTATCACATTATGAAACTGGTGATATGCTAGAAGAGGATATCATGTTTTATTCATCAAAAACACCTTAAAGGAACATACTCTCTAGTAGGAACACTAGGACTTCCTGATATTCAGTAGTAGAAACATCCAAATTTGTAACAATTTTTAGGATGAAGTATCAGTTATTCTACAGATGTAAAAAAAGCCAATATTTGCTATCTAATAAAACACCTGTTGCCTACCCTTTTTTAGCTGTGCTACTTTCAATTCATCTCAGTTTCCTAGTATAAGTAGTATTTTAGTAGCATATGACCTCATTCATGCTAAAATGGTGTTTCACAGATTGCCAGTCACTATTTAAAAATATACTTTAAATATTCTAGCATATGGAAGATGTTCCAAGAAGAAATTTAAAAAATATAAAAATGCTTTGCCTAAAACTGCACACCGAGCAAAAGCTTCATTTTATAGATTCCTCTAAGAACAGAGTCCCATTTTTGACAATTTCTGATGAACTTGTTTCTGCAGCAAAATTTGTTAAAAATTCCACTGTGGGAGGAATTTGGTCCCCTTTACTGACATTGGGGCTGATCAGGGTGAAGCTGATCCATGCTACAGAGAATTGATTTTGAAAGCATAAACATTGGTGAGTCACATCCTTTAACTCCACTTTACCTGTAGAACTTCCAATACCACTTGGATTGCATGGCTCAGAATTTGCCAAATATTAAAAGCTATATGGTATATTCCATTTGTCTGCCATGGTAATTGAATAAGTGCCCTCACACCAGCCACAAAAATAGAATTTCTTTGTTGACCTGATCTCTTCTGGCAGTCCATAAGGAGAACCATTGCAAGTCTGCATGGAACTGGATAGAGAAGTGGTTTTTACTACAGCAGCAGTTATCCTAGGTGCAATCAGAAGAACATCCAATAGAATGTAATCAAATCACAATTTTCCCAGCCAGAAATCCAGAACCAGAGAAGAATACTTCTTTCCTGTCTTTCAGATAATGGAAAGGTATAGATCAAATATACATTATTTAGTCTTGTTGCACCTCACTCACAACATAACATCCCAAGTCCTGACAAGTGAAGCAGCCAACAGAGCACTTCATTACTGTTCTTAGATACTACCTCCAGTCTCCTTGCCTAGGTAGTATTTTAACACAGGTAAAATAATGTAATTTCCCCCAAGCTCTATGCTCACAAATGGCTGAACACTATCAGATTAAACTAAGTCATTAAAACCAGCATGAAACATACATTGAGCACTGGCTTAAAAAATAGCACATAAGAAACTTTATAAATAATGGCAAAATGATATGCAATAACTGAATTCAGTTATACAGATCATACAGATCTAATGAAGGAGATTGTTGCAGAGAAATTAAAAAATTGGCTCAGTCGAGGTAATGTGGATTTACAGGAGTTGACTCAACAATTTTTACACCTGCCTTAAGAACATTGGGAAATAACTGCATCTTGAATCATTTGAAAATCTGACTGGTGAAAAACTCCATCGCTTCCACAGCAAATTCTAGACAGAAATCATGGGAAGCTAATTCCACTGAGAGGAGGAAAACTGAAGCCTTTGAGATATGATGCTGCCAAAGACCCTTGTGTATCTCTTGCATGGAAAACAAGATGAAAGCTGAAGTTAGAAATATTACTGGAAAAGCCTCACTATTGTCAGAAATCAACAGGTGCAAACTTATAAGCTTCACTCACATCAGTGCAGAGATGGAAATAACCTTTAGAAACTAATTATGGGAAGAATAACGGTGGGTCATCTCAACAGGGTATGGTGAAGGAGGATATGGATAGACAGTGTGCAGCAAGTCACTAGTCAATCAGCAGCTGAATGTTCAAAGCTAGCATTGGCTAGCACTAGCTAACTGGAAACACCAGCACTTTCTTGCAAGCACTTAAACACAAATGCATCAATTTTGCTTACCAACTGTACCACTAACCCACATCCAACTGTCCTAGGATAGAAAGATAATTCTCTCATATCCATGTAAAAGTGGAGTAATCATTCCATTTCAACTGCACTTGCCATTCCATAAGGGAATGCTTAGCTTACCTTACTTAAGAACTTACCTGAAGAGGATACTACAAGATATTACAGCCTCACTTGTTGATGATGGCTGAGGTCATCATGCTCTCATGGATACACACACAAGACTTTCAAGTCAACACAATCTTTCATGAAGCTTTGCTGCTCTAAGGAAGAAATCAGCATCCAGAAGCATGTGGCAAAATCCCCAGCAGCAGCTGGTATTTTGCCCTTACTTGAAACCTCACTGCTGGTTCAGCACCAAAACTGCCTTAGTTAATAGTGCCAGCTGCAAACATAAAGGAGAAGTTTAGAAACAATAAATGCTAGAATATTTATTAGCAAAAAATTGCCGTTAGTAAATGCAGCT